CAGCCGCCTCGGGGCCACGCGCCCTTGGCCGCCACCCCCGCCATGGGTCCGCTGAGCTCCCCGGCGCGCGAGCCGCCGCAGCCCGAAGAGGAGCGGCAGCTGCGGATCAGCGAGAGCGGCCAGTTCAGCGACAGGCTGGAGGACCGAGGTGAGCTCGCGCTGCCCGGGCTGCCGCCCCTGCCCGCGCCCCTTCCTCCTGCTGGACCGCCTATCCCCACTCGCAGGTTGGGTCGGGCGGGGCGCAGCACTCGGAGCCTCGGATCGCGCGGCGGCGCGGAGCACGGACTTCCCCGCGAAGGCGAGGAGAGAAGAGGGCGGCTGCCCCACTTCCCGCGGCCGGTGCCGCCCGGGCACGGCTCCTTCCCAGGAACCCCGAGACCCGGGGCTGCCTCCAGGCTCACCCCAGGTGGCCTGCGCCCTCCTCGGCGAGCCCCAGCCCCTCCAGTGCCCACTGGAAAAGTTTACCAGAGGTGTTTTTATTTATTTATTTGTTTAGCTTTGGAGCCAAGCACTCCCGGGGGACTGCTGGCCCCGCGCACCTCGGAGAGGTCCGGGCTCGGTGCGTCCTCCTGGCCAGGCTCCCTGCAACCTCGGCCCCCGCCTGCTTCCCGGGAGAACTTCCTTCTGCGGGTTTAGCCTCGCGGTGACCCTCGGCGGCTGCCCCGGCGAAGGGCTCGGGAAGGTGAACGAGCCCGGGCCGGGGGTGTCGCCGGACTTGCGAGCCCTCGGACGGCCTCCAACCTTCACTTACCCCGGACCCAGGTTTAGTGGGCTACTGTACTGCCCCGCTGTCTGGTGATGGGGTAAGAACTGGGACACTTAGTCTGGGCCGTCAACCTCAGCTGAAAGGATGCCACTGAGACATTGGTGGTTCCTGGCGTGGGCGTCCCTTCAGAATCCCTCTCTAGGCACTGGCCGGAACCCGGCTAACATCCCTCTCTTGAGAGGCCAAGCCCCACCTTCCCACCGACAGCCAAAGCTCTGAGTTGCCCCTACGAAACGAGAGGAGACCCCCGGTCCATGTCTGCGTCTCTCGCCTTCTCCATCCCTGCCTCTCTCCCTCCCTGGTTTCCTCTGGGCTTGGTTTGCTGGCGGAGGGAGCCTCGTTCTTGGCCACGTCTACACCTTTTATGCTTCTTGCTGAATCCAAATCCAAACCGTCCCTCTCGAAAAAAATGACTGGTTCTGCTAAAACGACTTAGTGACAGGAGCCGGATTCTTGCAACCAGGCCCCTCAGGGAGCAGGTTCATCGCCAACCTCCACCCGCTTTTCTTGGAAGCTTTATTTTGTTGGCTGTAGCAGGTTTATGCATTTTAGTCTTAGCAGGTTTCGACCCTATTCTTAGTATCTCCTGTACATTTTTATTCCGGGTTTAGTATTCGGATGCACGATCTCTTTCCCCTTAGAAATTCTCAAGTGCAGCATGTGAAATGGAAGGACATGCAAACGGCAAATCCCAGAAACTCGGCAGAAATGCTCGCTGAGAATTGGAGCCACTCCAGTTGCAACGAGTTCTGCACCTATGTTGCAGTTTCTTCTCCTAGTCTCACATAATGTAATTAGATTTTATTTTAGAGCTGATGATTGGTGACATCACAGCACCCAACAAAACCTATCAGTTTTATTACAGGGCGTTTTAGTTATCCTTCTCTCTCTGCAACTAAGATGGTAGGCTTTTAACATTTTGTATTGAAGAGGGACAGAGGCCTGGGTGGGGCTTATTTTTGTAGCCTTGTCATTGGGGGTCATCTGTAAAAGCTGGCCGGTTTCTCCTCACCCCTCATTAAAGACAGGAGGGAAGAAAGTGCTAGGGTGAGTTAATATTTAGCATCATTTTGTAGCTTGTGCTCAAGTGTAAAAAGCCCTACTGAATTCATTCTTAAGGTTATTTTTCACTGGTCAACTGAATTTCATTTTCCATTTTATTATAGCATGAAGGCATCCACTGTCTGTTCATAAACTGTCACTGTGAAAGCAATGCTTATCCCACACAGCCTCTCTGTTAAGATGAGTCCTGTCCCCTAAAGAACCCAGTGTCGTGTGGCATTGAAAGCTGAAAGTCAGTATGACATTCTTTTGTTTGACCTATTCCTGACTGCAAAGAGTTAATGATGAATGAGTCATTTTTATTAAATAAATCAGAAGGTTACCTGGGGAGGTTTATTTTAATATTTTGTATTTGTGTGTTTTATTTCCCCTTATGGCACTGCATCTTTCTAGTATCGATTTTGTATCCCTTGGGAATGGTCCAGAGCTGCTACCTCTTTCCAAAAATGGTGGGAGATTTTTGAGAGGAGGAAGTCTCAGCAGTTGCCTGCTGTTTGTCTCTCTATCATGCCTGGCTTGCTTTCTTGTGGGCCTAAATACCTACTGGTTGTGTGTGGGGTGTGTATCCTAGATCTGTACCTATATTTGCCATTCTCTTTTGTCCTAACTTCCAACCTGGCTATCAGGGGTCTGTTACAGACTGTGTCTAATTGTGATCAAAGGGTTGCTTTATTATCTACTGTTCTGAGGCTTTTTAAGGGATTTTCCCCTTAGAAGTGGTCTGGTTCCTGGAATCCTAAAAAAATGGAAAGAAACCCATTGCCGTCGAGTTGGTACCTACTCATAGCAACCCTATAGGACAAAGTAGAACTCTCCATAGCGTTTTCAAGGAGCGGCTGGTGGATTTGAACTGTTGACCTTTTGGTTGGCAGTCAGAGCTTTTAAAATGCTAGCTAGCTCATAATGTCAGTAACTGCAGTGCTGTTTGGCCAGACCTGTAGTTCTGTAGCCCAGGGTGGGTACAGAACTGTCAGGGACTAAACTTACAAAAAATAAATCAAGTTTGTCTTATGCCTTTCCTCCCCCACATTTAGTACTCACTCTTTTCCCCGCAAGTGTTTTCCCATCATTCTACCCCAAGTCTTAGGGTCGGGTCTAGCCTTAGAGATTTATACACTTCAGCATTTCCCACTACTTCCCCCATCTAATGAAAATTCCCTTTCTTTTATAGCATCCAGGCTTGACCAACTCTTAGGAGAAAGCAACTGGAACTAATTCATACTAGTGTGAAAATGACCGATAGCTTCAACCTCCCCACAGACACTTGCACTTCCAAAAAATAGAGGTCATTTCTTCATTACCCATTGCATTCGAGTCGATTCCAACTCATAGTGACCTTAAAGGACAGAGTAGAACTGTCCCATAGGCTTTCCTAGGCTGTAATCTTTACAGAAGCAGACTGCCGCATCTTTCTCTCTTGCAGCAGCTGATGGGTTCAAATTTCTGCCCGTTCAGTTAGCAGCCAAGTACTTAACCCCTGCACTACCACGGCCCTGATATTCCTTCGTTAATACAACCATCATCTTACTATTGCCATACTCTAATTGCGAATATGTGAAATTTGATTGAGTGTTAGAAATTTGAATGTGGAGGTCAAATGTCAGTAGGGAAGACCCAACCACTTGCAAATCTGAGGTCTGCCCCAGCTTCCTTAGGGCCTCTCTGGGCTGCTTCTCCTCTACCTTTTCCTGAAAGCTCTAGGAATTGTCACCACATCTCCATGGCTCGTGAGTATGCGTGCCCTAACACATGTGTGGAGGTGGAGGCGCCCGTGTATGGACCATTCATCATAAGCTGGGTCTTTGTAGGTGCAGGGAGGCCGGCCCACCTTCCCCTCCACTTTCCTTTGAGGAGTGGAAAGTTTGCCATGTGTGGTATCAGCTGTATTTTTAGACAGGAAAACCAGGGGGGAAATAAGCAAAGATTGGATAGAAATGGGAAAGTTCCTCCCTTCTTGGATAATTTTCCTATTCAACTTACTCCAGTTTTTTTTTTTTTTAAACGTCACGGGGCAGGCACACACAGGATCAGATCTGAGGGAGAACCCCCAGCCCTACTGCTGAGGACTTACATGCCACCTTAGCCAGGCAGCCCAGCCCATGCTTGCTGCCATCTGAAACTCCTTCATATGAGTTTGGCCCATGGGTGGGGTGAGGCATGTATCCTGGCCCGTGTGGTCAGGGCCTAGCGTGCTGTTGGAACTAGCTTGCGTTGCAAGGGGGGAAAAATGTTAGATGGCAAAATAGAAAGCCAAGATCATCTTGGTTCCTCTTAGGAAATTACATCTACTTCTAAAAGGACCCTTGCTTTTCCCCGCCTAGTGAGGAAACCTCTCGAGAGTAGTGGTGTCAAAATATCCAGCAAATGAACTGCTTATTTGAGTTAGTACTTAAATGTTATAGCCTCACATAGTCCTGAAAATCAATGACCAGGATGAAAGGGAGATTTTTATATCATTTGGAAAGAGGGAAATAAATTATTGAGGGTTGCGTAGGATCTGCTCATTCTAGGTTGTGGCTTTAACTGGAGACAGTGATGCCCATAGTTGAAAATTAGAATGAGGTACTTTTCAGCAACTAAGAGAGAAGCAGACAAAGGGATACGCTGTATTTTAATTGGGAAATCACTTGTACCTAGTGAAGAATGTGATAGGAGAGGTTTTCTTTTTACTATCCAAGGGCGTGCATTGAAGAAGGCTTGGGGAGAATTTTGCGGCTAGGTGATGGAGATGGTGTTTGTACCCACCTTTTACAATTTCATCTACTTCCTTTGATCCTATGTAAGCCTACACGTTTCAGTTAATTAAAAAATGTCTGGGTTGTGAGCTGGGCTCACTAACCAGCCTTCTCAACATTTCCTCTTGCTTTATTCTGGAATTGTTCAGGAATGCTTGAGTCTACGTAAAAAATGGAACCGAGAAGTTTTAACAGGATCCTTGATGTCATTTTTGAACAGGATTCAGTTTTTGGCAACCAGAGGCTTACTGTGATGTCCACTCATTTAAATGGGATGATATCTTTTACATGCTATGTAGGAGTGGTATGTTGCATGCTAGGTGATATTTTACACATGGACTCCTATGCTTCCACTACCAATTCCTTTTGTTATTATTTGAAGTTGTTGAGATGAGGGTGTTCAACCTCTGAAAAGTATCTTGTGGATGCTTTAGCCAGAGTGGTGTAAGAAACTCCTCTTTATGTAGGATGTATGACTGAGAATTTGGTTCTCTGTGCTACGAAGGGAAACCCTGGTGGCATAGTGGTTATGCGCTATGGCTGCTAACCAAAAGGTCGGCAGTTTGAATTTGCCAGGTACTCCTTGGAAACCCTATGGGGCAGTTCTACTCTGTCCTATAGGGTCGCTATGAGTTGGAATCGACTCGACGGCAATGGGTTGGGTTCAGTTTGGTGCTACTAAGAGATGCCACATATGTATTTTCAAAGGAGAAGAAAAAATATAAATCAGTCATAGTGAGGAACTTTAAGTCTCTGACCTAAGGCATTTGAAGCTTGGGCATCGATTGCCTCGGAGTCATCATGAATTTCTGTTGTTGTCAAGGACTCCCAGCATTGAAGGGGTAGGCGACAAAAGCACACCTTTCTTACACATGGCCTACCTGGGAAGCCGCCTGCAGTTTTGGCAGGTTTATCCTGCTTTAATATTCTAAGATGTTTTGGACAGGTGCTTGATACAAAGGAATAGATGCTATAGGGCAGGGAGAGGAGAGAAGAAAACATGGCATATAATTTGGGCCTGGTGGCTGTTGTTGGTTGTGGTTAAACAGAATTGGTCCTTTTCTAATTGTCTGGAGGAGCAATGAGGGCATCTGTATTCTATGATGATTCATTGCTTTGAGCAAAAACAAAACCCTGTCTACCAGTTGGGACTGTGTGGTTGGATCAGTGCAAATCAGTGCCCTCAGCTGAAGGGACCAAATGCCCAACTGAATGTGGGCTGGTCATCCTGTTTTCCTAACAGTAGGGCCTCATTGTAAATAGCAGCACCGACCTGAGCTGGTGGCATAGTGGCTGAGAATTCAGGCTGCTAACCAAAATGTTGGCAGTTCAAATTCACCAGCTGCTCCTTGGAAACCCTATGGGGCAGTTCTGCTCTGTCATACAGGGTCACTGTCAGTTGGAATCAACTCGATGGCACGCAACAGCAACAACCTGAGCTGAGTTAAACAGAGGCAAGGGAATGGCCTGGGCTGACACTTCAGGGGGTGGTCTTTGTGTTCCTCTAAAGAGGACAGCTTATTGTTACCATGCAGGAATTGTGCTTGTTAGCCACCATTGAGTTGGCCCCCGACTCATGACAGCCCCATGTGCATTAGAAGGAAATGCTGCCCAGTCCTGTGCCATCCCTATGATTGGTTTCAGATCAGACAGACTGTTGTGATCGACAAGGTTTTTACTGGCTGATTTTCCAAAGTAGATCACCAGGCCTTTCTTCCTAGTCTATCTTAGTCTGGCAGCTCCACTGAAACCTGTTCAGCATCATAGCCAGGGGTGGATTATCCAATAAGCAAGGTAAGCATGGGTTTTACTTATGCTTGTTTACTAATCTGTAGTGAACAATGTCACATTTTTTCACTACATCAAACAGTCTGCTTCTAGATATGACTGGCATCTGTGTCATTCCCAACCCCACAGCACCTTCCTACAGAATCAAAGCCTCTTTTCAAATTTACAGTCCCTGACAGGGACAGATGACTCAGTAAGCAAGGTAACCATAGGCTTACTTGTGCTTACTTACCAATCTGTAGTGAACAATTTCACATGGGTTTCACTTTGATGTGGTGTGGCAAAACCCATGTGAAACTGTTCACTACAGATTAGTAAGTAAGCACAAGTAAGACCGTGTGTATTGGATAATCCATCCCTGATAGCAACATGCAATGAATGAGGTGCATTGGCTGGGAATCTACCCCGGGCCTCCCACATAGGAGGCGAGAACTCTGCCATTGAACACTACTATATACATGCCCCATGTCAGAGCTTATAATTTTTCAAGAGATTTCAGAAAGCTTGACTTACAGGCGAAATCTTCTAATTATTATAACACAGTGTGGGCCAAACAAAACACATCTTGGCCCGCGGGCTGTCAGTTTGCAATCCTTGGATAAGAAATTGTAGTTCTGGCTGTGGGTTTCTTAATAAGGGCAGGTCTCACTTCTTTTTCTCCTTGTTTTTTTTCCAGGTTTACTAGAAAGCAGCACCCGACTAAAACCTCATGAAGCCCAGAACTACAGAAAGAAGGCATTGTGGGTGTCCTGGTTCTCCATTATTGTCACACTGGCCCTTGCCGTGGCAGCCTTCAGTGAGTATCAGGAGTCTTGCCGCTCGATACATGCTGGTGTTGCCTGTTTTATTCTCTAACTCCTGTGGGATGCTCTTGTGCTTTTAGTTGACTATTATTGACGAGTAAATTTTGTAGATGGCTGGATAGTCAGGGTACTTATAAATTAGTAAGATGGCTTCTCTCCTCTGCAGAGGGAAGGGGTGGTGAAGAAGAAGGAATGGAGAGCGGTACTGAGAGCTTTGGCTTCTATCAGTATGCGGTTTTTGGAAGTTGATTCTGGCTGCCAGCTGAATAGTGACAATATTCTCTGGGTGGAATGCCTTTAGCTTGTGCTGTTGTGTGACAAATATATATTCTTGGGATTCGTGCTTTGAGCCTAATGGAACCAAATGAGTGAAATATTGCAGTGCATCCTCTCTCTTCCCCTGTAGATCTGCTAAGGTTTGGAAGAAAATCATGTTCAAATTTTAATGAAAGAAAAACAGTAGAGTCCTCTCTCAAGTTTTCAGTAGCCCCAGAAATAAAAATATTTATTATAATAATAATAAAAAAAACAAACAACAAACAACAACAACAACAAAAAAACCAAGCAAAACAAGAATATTGTACAATTTGTGCCCATGGATAATCCCATTTAGGGGTTAGGAAGCCCCATGATGTGCGTTTTCTCAGCTAAAATTTGCCGCCTATAGAAATGTGCATGTGATATATATTTATTTTTATTAATCACGCAGTGATTCACAAGCCTAAGCTATGACATTCAGTATAGCTCAACCTCTGTAGAAACCATGATGTTTTTTATGCTGGGGAAAAAAGGAATGCATTTTGTAATTAATTTATTACCTTAGCAGAAAGATCTATCTATATTCTAAGTGACAAGTATCATACCCAGTGTCTCATGTGACAGCACTCAGAGTAGGGCAGAGAAGGACTGTGTCCGCTGAAAGATGCGACTGTGTGTGTGTGTGTGTGTGTGTGAGTGTGTGCATTGTTTAAAATTCTATTCTGCACTGTTGGCCCTGCTGCTAGAAGTTGATGTTGGCTCCCAGGAGGGCATATTAGAATTTGACCAAATGCTCCCTGTGAAACTCGACATATGTTACTTGAAGCAATTTATATTGTAAACACTGTACTGTATCGTGGCTCTGAAAAAGCCAAACATTTAGAAGCAGAAGATAATGCATTTCAGGGTATAAACATTTACCAGCGAGCCAGAAATCTAATCAAGGGAATTCTGATTCCTGAAAATAACAACGCCTTCGCCTCTCCTCCCTTTTTTATGCTGAAACAAGAATAACAAGCCATTGCTGTCCCTGGAGGATAATTTGGTTGTGGTGGCTTGTGGTGGGCTCTTGATCAGATGCTGTAATTTACATATGTAAAGAAAAAGGAATCTAATGAAGGGAGGTGATTTACAAACAGAACAATAGTTATTCAGACATGTCGGTGTGCCTTATAAAGCTGTTATGACTTTATCCTGTGGGGTGTCTGAGTGAGGACCTGGGGATAATATTACATTTGATGTACTTGAGTCTCATTAATAGGGAAAAATTATGAGGAAATTTTGGTTTCACATGTTATGCCTGATCATTTGGGCTGTCTTGAAAAGTTGTTCCATTCCCTTTAATGGGAAAAGACTGCTGCATAATGAACAGAGAATTAGAATGTTGCTTCGTGAAAAAGGTTTCTTTCTTTCTTTTTTTTTTTTTGTTAATGATTTTACCTATTATTGTTGCAAGTGTTTAATTTAAATCCTAGAACTTCTTGCCTACAAAATGTTGACCTTGGCATATAATATCAAGATCTGTTATATCCTACAGTACATTCAGTTTGTTCCCAAGTTGCTTTCAACTTACTCTGGTTTAGTTAAGCCAAAAAATGTAGAAGTCAAGTTATATTTTCCCCACTTTAACCATAGAGTAGTTTTATTGAATGTGTGTGTGCGCGTTTCACATTTTAAACCCTTGAGGTAGTCTTTCTTTGTTTGTTTTTTTAAATTGTACTTCAGATGAAGTTTTAACAGAGCAAACTAGTTTCTCATTAAACAATTAATACACATATTGTTTTGTGACATTGGTTGCCAACCCCAAGACATGGCAACACTCTCTCTTGTCGACCTTGGGTTCCCCATTACCAGCTTTCCTGTCCCCTCCTGCCTTCTAGTCCTTGCCCCTGGGCTGGTGTGCCCATTTAGTCTTGTTTTGTTTTATGGGCCTGTCTAATTTTTGGCTGAAGGGTGAACCTCAGGAGTGACTTCATTACTGAGCTATAAGGGTGTCCGGAAGCCATACTCTCAGGGTTTCTCCAGGCTCTGTCAGACCAGTAAGTCTGTTTTTCTTTTTTGTGAGTTAGAATTTTGTTCTACATTTTTCTCCAGCTCTGTCCGGGACCCTCTATTGTGATCCCTGTCAGAGCAGTTGGTGGTGGTAGCCGGGCACCATCTAGTTGTGGTGGACTCAGTTTGGTGGAGACTGTGGTAGCTGTGGTCCATTAGTCTTTTGGATTAATCTTTCCCTTGCCTCTTTGGTTTTCTTCATTCTCCCTTGCTCCAGATGGGGTGAGACCAGTGGAGTATCTTAGATGGCCACTCACAAGCTTTTAAGATTCCAGATGCTACCTTGAGGTAGTCTTTGATTATATTGTTAGGGTTATTGGCTTTACCCTTTAGTTTCCTAAATATATTTGTAATATGCAATATTTAAAATCTTTCCTAAAGCATCATTTATATGTTGACAGAGTTTTGTGCAATCCTTTTCATAGCTTTGAATGAAAGAAAATCAGCAGAGATTAAACAATATAAGCAGACCTTTCAAGTTATTTTAAAACTGGTGTCTGAAGAAAAACTGTATGTTTCAGAAATGACAGTAAATATATTTTTAAAGTGTCACAAGGAGCTCCAGTCTTACTTTCCAAGCAGGTGGTTGACAGAGAGATGAAATGGAATGGCTTGGTAAACCTTTTTCCTATACAGTGAAATAGTTGGGTTGAACAAATTAGTATTTTTAAGAGAGTTGTTACAGGATTACTACATGCAATGCTTTGGCGTGGTGGAGAAGTCTGGAGTGTGTGTGTGTTTTGGGAGGGAGGGGATAATCACGGTGAAGAGAAGATAATTGTATTTGTGATCATATCTTCTTTCCACTGCTGGATGGTAAATTCTCTCGGGTAGGAAGAGCATCTCATCCTTGCGTGGAATCAGTACTCAAGATTGTTAAGTAAATGAACTGAGAGATATAATCTGTCTATCTATCTATCTATTTTTTTTTTTTTTTTGGTTAGGTGGAGGGGAAATAGTTCATGGAAGATGATAAATTCTATCTCTATCTAAAGGTTTGTTTAGATACCAGGCTTAGCTAAGTCTCATTTATTTTTTAAACAATTAAAAAGTTTATGAGATGAATGAATCATTATGGCTGTTCTCTTGCCAAAGGCAGCGTCTTGGAGTTATATCTACTGGTGTCAGTTGGAACTCTTATCTTCACGTTCTCAGCTGCCATTTTCCACTTAATCATAGATACTGGTTTTTAGTTCAGCGTTTTCTGAAGAAACGCTGTCATCTCTTTTATTTTTGGAAAAGAGGGTGATGGATATGTGTAAGATTAGGGCACACTTCTTTTCTTAGTCAACTGGAAAGATTACGTAGTATGTACATTATAGATAAAGACTCTTACCCTTTACCTGCAGTGAGATTCCAGGTATTCAGGTATGCAGTGTTTTCTCAGTTTAATGGTCTCTGAAAGACCTAATTGATAAAACTAGCTTAGGTCAGTGTTACTGAGTTATTTGTGATAAATCAGTTATGTATGTAACTAGTATGCTTGACATTCATGTGTCTGGTATAATTGGAAAAATTAGTGACTTTCAAAGTTTGTGACCTTGAAAAGGATATGAACTATTTTTTATGATCTTTGCTAATGTAATGATTTCAGACCTGTTCAAATGCTGATAGAAAACCAGATGGGAACGTGTCTTGAACATTTCAGAGAGAGCCCTAGTTTGGTTTTAAAATTGATTCTGTTTATAATCGGTAGGCAGCATGGAAAATGGCAATCTTGTTATGACCAAACGTTTAAAAAAACTCTGTTTTAATAATGAAGCTGGAAGAGAACAGAAATTCTGTTTCAGAACTCAGGGTTTTGACACTGATGTCTTCATTAGGATGATTTAGGAAGATGCATTCTGACTCTGCTTTTTGAGGTTTGAATGAGTGCAAGTTAATTTTTAGGCACTCAATACATGGTCTGTGGGAAATGAAGATAAATTTGAAGCATTCCCCAAGAGAAAACCTTTCCTAAGATACACAGCTCCATTAAAAAAAAAAAGTAATTCAATCCCACATTTTCTCAGAAAAAGCTCTCTCAAAAATTTACCGTATTAGTAGATTTAAGAATTAGAAAAATCCCTGGAAGGAGTGATTTTCTTTTTATAGGTGAAGATTTCAAAATAAATGATTTGATTTTAGTGTAAATTCTTGACTCTTAAAAATGGTAGAAAATGTGTACTTACCCTTTTTATTTTTCAACTGAGAGGCCAAGTGTTAAGAGGTAGATAAAATGAAGCTACACAACTCTTCTATCAGCCCAGCAAAACACATATGGGAGCTTTCTTTTCTTAGGTATTCTCTCAACTGATGCATAAGATGTAAAAGGCATAAGACCCTCCAGTGGTTCTTTGTTGCCCTAAGCCTAACACCAGAGTCCCTGGTGTTAACAGTTAACACACTTGGCTGCTAATCGGCAGGTTGGAGGTTTGATTCCACCTACATGCACCTTGGAAGAAAGGCCTGGTGATCTACTTCTGAAGAATCAGCCATTGAAAACCCTATGGAGCACGGATCTCCTCTGACACACATGGGGTTGCCCTGAGTTGGAGTCGACTCGACAGCAACTGTTCACCCGTAACACCTAAAATTTTACAATGGCCTAAAGGTCCAGGCCATTGTTAAAAAGGTCTTTGTCCCCCTTTCTAAGATACCTTGAACAGGACCGGGGTGCGTGCCCTTTAGCTGAGCTCATCTT